GGTGTTGCTCTGAAGATGGAGGCAGTTTTTCTCCGAAACGTTGGCATTCTCCTACGCGTCTAAAAGGCCGGCAAAACCCAGAATATCATCATCCTCGCCGCTGTGAAAACCTCAAACCTCTCATTCTCTGTAATATGGCCACATGCTCTCGATGTTAAAGATGTATGAGAAACGAGATTATGAACATGAAGGACGGCTTCAAGATGGCCAGCCAAGCAGCAACCATTCAGTTTACTGCACCGCAAAATCGCTCCGCCAGTCGTGATCAACACGTCTTCAGTATAACCAACATTACGAGGAAATGCAAGCCTCTGCGACTCACTCCATGTAACTGGTTTAATAAATGGTCATTCCACGAGTTTGTTCACCTGGCGACAATGTTCGGTCGTCGAATTCACCGTAAACAGACAATCCAGTTCCGCTGTTTTGTTCTTTTAAGATTTTATTACATCGTTTTCTTGTAACCAAAAATGGCGACTTTAATGCTGGAGTTGTAATGAAATATATACGGAAACAGAAAGTTTTAAATGACGATTACAAAGTAATGCATTTACTTTTCACAGTACATGAATTATCGAGCATGACAGCGACAAATTATTACTATTATTATTATTTGGAGACGCATAACAAAGCAGCAAAAATAGAAACAGTCACTAGCAGCAGACTGCTACTGCATCTTTCAAACAAGAATGGGCCCATTTTGATCTGTCCCGAGATAAAATTTAAATACGTTTATAAAACTGAGTCTGTCGTGGAATCTACGTACGTAGATGCATTCTTCATACTTGCTGTTTGCACATGTGTTATGACAGTCATCAATGTTCTCCCAAATGCGTGTGAGTATCTTAATTTCTAATTCTATTTGGTAGGTCTGAATGGTCAGTGTGAGATAGTGGGGAATATAAAAGTTTGGCGGAACTCGTGAAGTAGCAGAAAGTACAAGCAATTAGGAATACAAAACGAGCAATCTCATAAACACATTTATTAACATTATGTAACATTTTACGTACGAACACAATGGCGCACTTAGCAATAATCTGTAAAAAAAAATACATCACGTGGTATGAACGGAATCCAGCGCAAATACAAAAATACGCACACAGCAGAATTACATATAAAACACAAAACGGCAAAGCTTCAATACAACGTTCACAGTTTCTAAGCTACATTAAATTTTCGTTAGAAATTCATACCGGTACATAATTGTTAAAAAAAACCTGGGGGGAAGACAACGAATAAAAGGAAAGGACGATACTAAAATGGTTCTTAAAGATAAAAGATAACGTGGATTGAAATCACGTGTCTCGCCATAGAAACCAGTGAGGGGTCTTACGAAGACGACAATAAACCTTCAGGTTCCATAAAAGCCATCCAATGTCTTGAGCGACTATCAGCTTCTGAAAAAGAACTCTGCTCGATGGAATTGCTTTTTCATTCAGACACAACCTATATATGTAACCAACATGTGAGACACATTATAGACGTGAACGCTGTTAAAAACACCGCCATAAGTCACAAACTAAACGTTCATGTCAGCACAAGTGAAGAAAACACAAACCAGCTGTCAGTTAAAACGACAAGTGGGATTACAGAGATGTGTCGTGCCGTCGCGGCTGACAACAGTCCGGGGTCACATGGGAGCACAAAGGCTCATGGAATGTTTTTGCGTTATGAATTCGATGACCGCTTCACCCAAACAGGCCTCTCCGGCCGACAGGAGAGTCAAGGCTAAGGGAAGGTCATTTCCCTTCTCGCCTTGCCCTTGAAAGAAGTTGGCCAACTCGGTTTTGTTCCATTACAGGCCATGAGCTCTAATTATTGAGAGCAGACAAAAGGATCAGATGAGGGAGGGGGGTTGTAAAATGTGGTCAGTTACCTGAAGAACACCTGTCGCTAGTGCAAAAAAAAAAGTTACCTCTGCGTGACGAAGTGGAATTCGCTCTCAACTTTACAACCTATAGCTCTGACAAGATTTCAAAAACTGCAGGCAAGTTCAGTTCATTCTTGGAACGCTGACATAAATTTAGAATATGCATATTTACATCTACGCATCTTAACCCACAGAGGAAGTACTTGATTTTAGCTGGAAACCTGAAGGAAAGAGATCTCGGCGAAATTTGTATGATGCATTTCCTATCCAGAACTGCCTGAAATAAGGACCTGATTTATCGCCACTGCTTTTCAACTTTACTTTAGAATATGACATTACCAAAGACAAGGAAATTAAATACGAATAGCAATCGAAAGAGGCACATCAGCTGATGAAAGGAAACAGAAAAACTGCAGAAACTCTATTACTCCCTAGCAAAGCCTAAATTAATAAACGATCAGAAAATTGAATAGCACATACATATCTCACCACCAGACGGCAGGATAAATTTATAGCATAAATATGCCTAATAAAAACTACCAGACCACACAGCTCAATAACCCAGAGGGCAGTCATTTTCATACTTGCTGCCATGAGAATCTGAAATCTCACTGAAGAAATACTGTTTCATCTATCAATGAAACATATTGTAACTAAAAGCAACATAGAATGAATAACCATTCCTTCAAACAAAATGTTCAGTTGATCATTCTAAAACAGTCTTCACCACCAACACTTCCACAATCACAAGGATTTATTGGATTTGTATTAGATGTGGTTGATTAACATCCTCTAATTCATGTGGCGTCACGGATAGGTCGAGGTCATCTCAAGATTATGGCAATATCAGTCCAATGGTTTGCCGAATACAGGCATTCAAAACTTTCAATGTCATTCTATCATCATTTTTTCTTATGCAAATTTCTGTCGAACTGTAGGTTACTGAATGGCCATACTCATGCAAGTTGAGATCATGGTTAGGTCATCATTCCATGCTACTACTCAATTACACTATTGCCTAATTTTAAATTACTTGAATTACCTTTAAATCACTGCACATGGTTATACTGAAATCAGCAAATTAATATTATTTTTTACAAATTAAAAACCCATAACAAACTATAAAGAAATTTCAGATTGGTTAAAATCAAGGAAATGCTTTACCCCCAGTGCTTTTCAACTTTTCTTTAGAATATGGCATCAGTACAGGAAAAAACAGTACTTATAGTTTATGTTGATGGTGTTAATTTAATGAGTGGAAACACAAATACCACAGTGACCAATACAGACGTTCTATTAGATACTAATATGGAGGCTGGCCTAGAAGTAAACACTCAGAAAACGAAGTATATGCTCACGTCTCACCACCAGACTACACGTCAAAATCATTATGTAAATGCAGGTAATAAATCCTTTAAAAACATGGCAACATTACAATAAATGGGAAAGACATTGGAAATCAGAATTGCAGTCATGAGGAATTTAGGAGCATATTAAATACGAGCAATGTTTGCGAATATTTTGTCTTCCTGTCTGCTGTCTGAACATGTAAAGATTAAAATACACAAACTGATAGTTTTACCTGTTGTTTTGTATGGCTGTAAAATCTGGTCTCTTATATTAAAGGATAAACACAGAACTTGAAGGGAAGAGACACCTGGAAGTATTGGTCAGAGGATAATTTTAAAATAGGTCTTAGGGAAATAATTTTTATGGATGTGGATTGGATTCCTATGGAAAAGGAAAAGGACTGGTGGCACCACTGCTTATACCGTTGTGACTTTGTTGCCAGTGTCTCGATTGTATTAATGGGGTGAACTGCATGGAGGCTGCCATTATTATGGCAGGAGAGATTCAACACTGCATATTCTAGTCCTTACTCCCCAACATCATGTTATTTGTAATGTGGTTACCATTTTTTTAAAAATTTCCTTGACATTATGAGATATTCAAAAATGTCTGATCTGTGTCTCAGAACTGCCGCCAAAACTAGCTGTCTACGCTTGTCTGAAATACCTCATTGGTAACCGATCTTAAATGAAACGGACACATTCCTCAGCTTCAAATAAACAGTGATAGGAAAATAAGAAGGGGGTGGGGTAAATTACAGGGCACAAGTGTGGAGAATGTGATGAGAAGAATATTGCATCCTACTCCAATTGAATCATAATGCTTGTAAGGAAAGAAAATTTACGACAAAACCAGTATGCTTCCTATTCTGTAACTGTTAAAATACGTGATAGCATGTAAATAGTACAGAATTAACTGACTAAATTACAGCAAATTAATGAAAAACATAAAAACAAATTCTATTCCAAATTGACAGGAATTTTAAACACTTCCTGCTATATGCTACTACTGTTTTATTTTGAAGAGAACAAAAATGTTCAAGTAATTTGCTACAGACTAATTTACTTTTGTTTCAGGAAGAATCAGATTTTGAAAATTTTTATACAGCAGCAAATCACTTACTATTCATTTTGTTTTAAAGCGGACTGTTCCATCAACCATAAAAGTTATGGCACATGGAATAAAAGATATGAGGATGTTGGGACTGGTAGAGAAAGATTTCTCACAGCTTACTTCATGTTTCTAAATCCAAAAGTCAAACATTTGTTCAAATCGTTTATATGCTTATAATATCAGAGAAAAAATCCAGTTTTAGAAGTCTTTAATTCAATAATATAACTTGAGATTTAACTTAGTTTTGATGAGTTATCATCTATTGACAGGTACACCTAATGACATGACAATATGGTAATAAAATGTACATGTTTTAATATAAATACACTGTTAATTTATACTGTTTCAAGGGCCAAAACTGAACTGACAACAATTTGCACTGTGCTGACTCATTTAAATTACACTTTTTTACCTTTCAGTAATAAATACAATTAAAGACAAGGGACATAAACTTTTACAGAGTACTGTCAGTGCTGTGTTCAAGGAACAAATTTAATAACAAATTATACGAATAAGAAGAACCTTGACCTCAAATAGGCCACAGTCCTACACTGAACAGAATATGAATCTTGTACATATTTTTATTTCTTGCCTATTTAACACTTAGTTTACCGTCACTGAGAAACTGATGCACTTAATTACTGCTATAAACACAAATCACACTCACCACTTCTCCAGATGCTTCAGCCATGGTGCCAAAATATAATCTTTAAGTCACTCCAAATTGCAAATTTCTCACTCTACAGAGAATCACAGCTGCGATACATCTTCACCAGACGCCATATTAACATGCAGTGACATCTGGGTGGGAAGAAGTGAACAATTTGATTGCGCGTAGATATTCGAAACCTCTTCCAGGAACCGCTACTAAATGACGGAGTATGAACAATATGTAACAGATGTCGCCATCTACTAGCTGGTAATCAACTTGTGACGCCATGTCTGTTTTAAATGTACCTTCCCTAATACGGGTAATTACGAACTTTTGTTAAAAATGTGCGAAACGAAATTTTACCTGCGCATTCAGAATTAAATGGAACGTAACAGTCTGCAAAAAAATGGGCTAGCTTTGAAGATGAAGGGCCAAAATTTAGGTGCACTTGCTAATAATAATATATTTGAAATACACTATACCATCATGATAAATTTTTTACAGACTAATTAGAATTTGTAGGCGGGAAGTTTCATCTTGTTTTGACACATGACCTTAAAATGGTACAACATCCACGCCATAATGTTTACTAATCTCACTGTAGCTGTCACGTGTAAATAGACTGTAAAAGTGCAATCCACATTGTAGTAAGAACTTCCAAGTGTCTCATAATCCTCATATTCTGAATGTATTTATCTCCATACATAATTTCAAACACTTCGCTCCAGTTGTTAATTATCACCACAAAACCAACATCCTACTTTTGACTTGAAGAAAATTTTTGAATCTGTTGGGGACTTGGTTAGAATAGAATATAATTTAGTTACATTCCACAGATCCTTCATACATTTTATGTAATAATGAGACACCATACAAGTTTAAACAGTCTTTACTGGCTTTTACATTGTGAGTTAATTATTTACAAAAGTTTTTTCAGGTGTATCAGTATATGAGACTTCAATGATGGCATGTTCTTTGCAAGAAAGTTGCACTTATGGCATTTTAGAGGTGTATCCATAAATTTCTTGATTTCATCTTTTGTTATAAATATTACCTCTCCATGCTTCTCAACTTCAGAAATGATCTCTAAAAAGCAACATTATAATAAACATTAAATAGAGATTCAATGACATATTCAGTTAGAACTAAAATTATATAAATGAAAAAGAGGCATATACTCATAAACTTATTTTAAACTTAGAAAATGTAAATAAAGTACAAGTAAATGGAGAAATTACTGTATATTACATGGTATTAATTGGATATGACAAAACAGCATAAAATCTCTTATGTTTCATTATACTTAGGATGTTGTTACCCTGTTAATTACTTAATAGATATTGAATAAGTTGGTAGTGTAGGTGTGAAAACATTTTACTAAATTCACTGCTACTGTTAGGGAAATGATGAACTTACTGGATGATGGCACGAAGAAATCTGTTGTGAATGTATTCCAGTGCTTTTTAGTTTTAAGGCAAGTGGAGTTGAAGTCATCACTGACAACATGTAGATGGAGCCGACTCATACTTGCTTCTGCATGATAGCCTAACCTTGAAACAAACATTTTGTACAATATACAGTAGATTAAATGCTTCAATTTGAATGAAGGAGTGCACAGTCAAGGGCATTATACATATGCATAAATACACAGCATGTTTAATATTTACATATCATGCAGAAGAGTACGTGTAGCCTCAAATTATTTTCTTACTTAAAGTTTGAAGTTGGATGACTTTCTGCTAGCTCTTGACCCACTTTATCCATGTGCTTCAAAAGCTGTAGATGATCCTTTGTGACTTTGGCCAAACTGCATATATTTTCCTTTGGCAGAACCAAGAAATGATAATGGGCCTGTTTATGAAATGATGAAAATGTTATTTAACAAAAAAACTTCCTAGATTAACTTTTAAACATTATTTTCCACATAATTTCCTTTACTTTCCCAACATTCTTCAAAACAAAATCTGGTCATCATGTAAAAACCTGTATTTATTTAATTTTTAAATAAGCCATGCTGATTTTGGGTTGTTTCTTTCCTGTTATTTAATATTACCATGAATGAATTTTGAATTTAAGAAATCACACATAACTTTCTCAAATACTTTACTGAATCTTATCAGTAATTAAATTAATGTGTAGTGTACTATTGTTCATATTCATTATATACAGAGCTCACACTTGAACATTTAGCTTGTTCTGGGAAAGTTTTAGCAGCCACTGATCAATCAATTACAGGCATAACTTACAATAATGACTTATACATATTTTTTAAATTTCTAATTTTTCAGATTGATGAGATGTAATTCTATCCTAAAAATGGAGATGGTATCAGTATCACACATATGTTGAAGATTTATTACACTTCAATACTAATTCCCAATTTTATTTTCTTACACATGTTACAAAATTGAACATAATACATGTCTTATAGCACTAGTAGTTCACAACCTTGATCAGTTAACTTATTCATTACTGGTTTAATCGGCGATGGTTTTTCTTGGAACTGTGTATAAAACACTATCAATGGCAGTACCAGAATAATTTTGAATTTTTGTCAGGAAATTTAGCAGTACATGTGAGATTAAATGTTGGCACTAAATTTCGATACAACTTATCTTCGTTAAGACACCTATATACATGTTACTCTTGTTAGAAAATACTTCAGTGGGCATCTACAGTCAGATTCATCCTCAAGTTTACACAGACTTGTTTAACCAGCATTATATCAGGCCAACTTAATCTGTAGCTCTTATATTCCAAATTAAATATTTGCCTGTGGACTCTAAATGTTGGCTAACCCTCGTACACTTAAGGTTGCATACCTTTGGATATTTATCCTTTATAGCCACTATTTTATCATCCTCCTTCATTAAAAGTTCAGGGTCCTTCATAGAAGACAAAAGACCCATTGACCAAAAATTCGCAGCTTTCTTTGCATATTTCTTCTGTTCGTCTTCATTACGTCTTTTACAGCTCATTTTATAATAACATCTGCAACTTTAACAGACATAATTTATAAATATTGTAAACATAGCATAATTTCATAGTATGTCTTAGCACGACTCGTTCCTTCTGTGGTTCCACACGAAACATGAATCTGGCACAGATAAACTAAGATGTTTAGTCATACCTACACGATCGCGGAAGTAACCACAGATAAAGCCAACGGTCTAAAAAAAACAAGAAAATAAATCAGTATTATCATCTATGTTCGCAACATTCAACAGGTCACTGCTAATTTTCAGGACTATAACACAAATAAGACACAGATTTAAACCAAAGTCTTAATTACATTAAGGTTGACATATTGATACTCCACTTATTTTACCAACTTATAGCATAGTTACCCCATGTTGAAAGTTTGCAACGCACGTAGCCTATGACGACATGCATATATTGTTCTGCCATCTATCAGTATCCATAGTGTAAAGTATAACGATTTTTGGTAACGATAATAACCACCCAACGTACTCAAACCTCCCCCCACCTTCGCTAAAACACAGAATGTTTCTTTTCAATAATACGAATCAAATAAACTGAAATAATATTCAAGCTTAATCAACTGGGGCATTGTACCATACAATCTCGTATAAACTGGCCGATGTTTCACAGTTGCCTTAACCATCATACAAATGCCCTGCGTACAAACGTACGTTACATGTGAGGTGTAAGTTGCGTTCGATAAGTCAGTGGAGTGCATCCACAGAGAATCATATGCAATGGCGTAAACATCATTCCGCTTTACGATTTCAAGCAACCGACACGCTGGTATTACCCAATCTGCAAAGTTACAAATTATTATTTTGGAGTAGTCACTTATGGTATAAAGTGCATACCAAATTTAAATGGAAACATTACAATTATTATATAGATATCACCGCGTAGTTGAAGTTGGTTAGGTTAGATTTGTTATGCACATGTGCTGAAAATCATGGTTAACGGCTTTAACATCACTCCTCACGAATCCAAGCAGCTTTCACGTTGTTATATAGAGTGAGCAGTTAAAAAAAAGCACTGGCGTAACGTCCATTCTAAATTTCATTGAAATACTTCCACTCATGAAGCTTTTTAATGCTTGCAAGTGAATATCATGGGTGATGTTCATCACATAGTTTGTGTATGTTTAAGATTCAGCAAACATTAATAAAACAATTAACTGACCTTTCTTTACTGTCTTCTTGTATTCAGCTAAATGTGATTCACTAAGTAGTGACATAATGTCACACATCAACTTGTATTAAAGTATCCAAGCTTTATTTTAATCTTCAACATTTCTTTGGAAGCCACAGCACAACCAACATGCATGTATTTTCAGTGGTACTGGTACAGTAAACTTGCCAAAATTAAATTCTCCTTTCAGTATGTTTGTCCTGGTTTAGTGAGAGACATACCCACACTCAATGTCACATTATAGAAAGCATTCTGATTAATTTTCAGTTGATTACGGTTAAAATCTCAATCACACAAGCTTCTACCTTCAATTATCCTCTGTACCTGCATTCAAAATCCATAGTTTGTAGAATACTGGGTGCATATACACACAGTCTCAGATGCAAATACTTGTGTTGTGGGCCTACTGCAGATGAAACAGTACTAATATTGTCACTGAGGTTCTATAATACTTCCAGTCCTTACTTCAGTAGGGCCACATTACACATTGACTACAATAATTTTCTTTGCCTCAACTTCTACACAAATAATTCATTAGTCTCTCTCTTTGGAGCTTACTTTGTAGCCATTTTTGACATATTTCACCATTTTGCAATTACATCATTGTGACTGTAAGTAAAAATAATATATATAAATTTATATATTTGCTAACTAAATATCTTTATTATTTCACCTCAAATACCACGAGGCTCTTAAAAGCAAACTAATGAGAATGTCAATGACATGATATTCTTACATTGTGACTACTTCATGAAATCAGAAGTAGCAATTATGGTGATGCAAATAGCTTATCTCTGTTCTGACATTTTTTTATACTATAATTTGCTCATATTCTCTGAATTAAGTTGCAAACCCGATGAAAAACACGACAAGCTCAAAATACGCATTAGATACATACAAACATCTTACCTATAGAGCCATTAGGTAATTAAAATTTATTACATAACTCAAATACATTTCGAGTTAGCATTTATGTAAATTAAAGCAGCATTCTACTTGGGATTCAAAATCTTCAGTTCTCCTGATGCACTTGATGGCCTTTGCCGAGTATGTTGATTTAAAATGCATGTTACCGAATATCTTTCAGATTATGTATTTCATCCAAATTTTTCTTGAGAAATTTACCACACTTCTCTCACAGCAGTGCAGAAGCACAGCAAAAATTACATTCTACTGTTCATTATTTGGGTCTCGGTAATACACACACACATTAACCATGCGAGATGAATGTCAATAAAAATGTACAAAAAATAAATGCCCATAAAAAAGCATACTCTTACTTCAATCTACTAATATTCTCCTTTATAAATAAAACTAAGAAATAACTAAAAATATAAAATGATAATTAAATTATTATTATTAATAATAATAATTCAGTGAATGTGGAACATGAAATGTAATGATTGGAGTCACAAAAATTGTAACAGAAGGACTAAAATGATATCTGAAAACACCAGGAAAGTGCTCTACAGATTCTGTTTTAAAAAAGTTGTACTAGGAACATCATATTATAAGGAACTACTACAACCAGAAGCCTGAAGACTGAGTGGCGAGGTTCACCACTGGTTCAAGAGGGAAAGAACCAGGAAAAATCTGTGAAAAGATGACATTTTCCAAGGACTCCAGAACTCTCCAACTTTGAAGAAAAATTTGTATAAACAAGGACTAAAACACACAGAAAAAATATATAATAAAACAAAAGTTAAGCCAGGACTGTGATAAGATGTGCCTTCGAGAAGTAACAGCAGTACTTAAACAACTGCACATTACATTAGATTCTTGTCTTCCTTGTTTAAACCAAGCGTTAACAACACATCTCAAGTTTCTGTTTATTACAACAGCAAAAAAGATTCAAAAACACACTACAATTACCAATTACAACCTGAGCTATGATTTTCATTCTCTTCCATCATCTGCAGAGAAAAATTTAAGCTGAGCAAGGAAAAACATTCCACTACTCAATCACAATTCACAGAATAACAAGAGGTTCAGCATTACATAAATTTCACTAAAAATTCAACAATCAAATTGTCAAGACATACCAATAACCAAATTTTTAGCTGTACAATGCACATTGCAGGTTTACTGATAATTTAGAAACCAGCAGAACTGGAACTACTATAATTGTCTTCATCACTTTTCACAACGGCTTGGGATCTACCATTCACGACTATAATCTTCAAACTTGTGGGGTGGTGGAGGAAGTAAGGAGGGCCCATATTTGCTGTGTAGCATAGCATCAGTTTAGAACATATTAGCCACTAGCAAGTGTGCTTGTGTAGTACCACTGTAGAGCAAGTAGTAAATGTTTTTTGCTTAGGTAATAGATGCTGATCCATGCTGCCTTTACCCCATCCAACTTCCTGCATACCTTACAAGTTTCAAGATTACAGCTGCAAACTGTACATCATACATAAGCAGAAGTATGTACAAAGAAATATTTGCTCAGGACCAATGGATCCATGCAAAAATTACACTATACATATCCCAGGAAGAGGAGGACCAAACTATTTTTCATTTTTATATTTATTATTTACACAACCTCACCTTTTGCTGAAATGAGTTGCTATACACTCTCGTCCTTCACAGAAGTCAACATCCACGTTTCATTGGAGTCACACTTATGACGTGGCTTTATAATAATCTTTAAACAAAGCTTGGCACAACTGGTATAGCAACAATATTCCTACTCGTCTTCATTGTAAAACAAGTTTCTAATGTTCAGTTCACCTCAAAGTTTTATTTACGGGTAAGTACAATGTTGCCTGGGGAGCTGAATGGGCCAACTCTTGTGTGTACATCAACTGCACGGACAGCAAAGTGGTATTTATGCCCTTCCATGAACTAAAAATTAAAATGAAGCAGTGATGAGTCAACATAAATTAGCATTATGAGATATGTTTCTCATGGTGGTGGACATGTTCATATTGGTCTTTTATGGTGTAAAACTACGCAGATTTGTAGATGGAGACTAATGTTTCAGAGGAACATACTTTAGCCCTGAAGAAGAATGGAGTACGTTCCCATGAACACTGGCATCTACCTTCAAGTCCATACAGCATTACAGCTCAGAAAATCAAAATCACCATCAATTACCACTGTAGTTAAAATAACAGTCGCAGTGTGTTTGGTTATTTCCAAATTATAATTTGTTACGAAAACACCAAGTTCACATTTAACTCTTAGCCATGCATCAGCTTCTCTGACAGGTTTTTCAATGTCTTCCCCCCATCTCCACCAATAATCTTAAAACTGGGGTTTTCAAATGTGCCACTGTATTCACATGTAACCACATACATACAAATTTCTTTGACTGTCCAATAAATTTTGCAAAGAACAGACATCGCCACAAGTTCCACTAGAACTTTTAATACCGACATCATTCCTTTCCTGTAAATCACTGTTCCGCAACATTTTTGGTGTCACGGACCCCCCCCCCCTTTCCAAACTTCCTGGTAATGTGGACACACTTCCCAAAATTGTGTCATACATTATGATGAAACAGCATATAGATTAACTAAAATGTTATTTTTTTACTTCAATGTGAATCAACTCAACTCACCGACCCCTCAGGTACAACTCATGAACCATTGTACAACATGTACAGTTAGTTAGTTAGTTACCTGTGTTAATGTGCAAGCCATAGGCAGCGGCAGAGCTTTCACATCACCAACTTTTTTCCACAGTGTAGTGCTTGGCTGGGCAGAACCCTCTTGGTAAGCATACAGCTGGTAACTGGCTATATCTTCATACTCTGAGGTCAGCTGCAGGTTCCACGACAGCACAATGCCTACAAGAAATAGTACTAACATTCATGATTTTTGGTTCTTAGTCTTACCAGGAAAATGGCACCTTGCATTAGGTAATGACCACTTCCTAACAAGCCCTTTTACAAAAAGAAATCATTCAATGATAAATAACTTACAGCTGATACAGTATATTTTAATAAAGATCCATACTTCCATCTAGCATACTTATGAGCAAGCAGCAACAAATACCATGTTGGACATTGCCCATCCTCCGAGATATATTTGATACACATTAACATGTCAAAGAGTTGGCACTTCTCTTTATGCATGATAACAATTAATGACAGATTTGTCATTACTTATTTGCTGTAACAACCTTTAAATGACAGGCATTTAAATGGCAAAGTGGTAGCAGCCCTACAGAGTTGTTTTTTGTGGGTATTTAAACAATTGTGCATGCTCTACGGAAAACTTTAATATTATCTAAAGTAAACATGATAAAATGACGCAATAAAAGCCATATTTATGCGAATAGAACAGAGAATACACAGAGTTTTTTAAAAATGCAGTTAATATCTTAATTGCATAAATATATACTAAACATCTATAAGTTTCTAAATTTCGAGTTTCTTTTACTTACATTTTGGTTGGAGGCTTAGTTGGCGAATACTTTTACAGCTGCGTCTTGGTGTGATATTCCAAGAAGCAGTTTTTGTCCACACACAAACCCACCTCACATTTCTGACACTTCACTTTGATTTTTCTTGTTACCCCATGAGCTGAACACACGCGACACCGCAGGCGATTAGATGGAACAGGCCAGTGCTTATTGCCAGTATTTTCCAGTCTGGTGACTTTATTGGCATCATTTGCTGGCCTACCTGGTGGTCTGTGTGCACGTGGCTGTTGTTGCCCAGCATGTGCTAGCATATTTCTCACTAGGGCAAGTCGAAATTCTCTGTGTGTGATTTTCTTTCCACCACATGAAGAAAGAATAATATATGTTCCCGAAACCCACTTGACATAAACAATGTTTACTCCTGTTCATGGTTATAGTTTCTGGGTTGACAGCTCCGTGGCTGTTGTTGCCCAGCATGTGCTAGCATATTTCTCACTAGGGCAAGTCGAAATTCTCTGTGTGTGATTTTCTTTCCACCACATGAAGAAAGAATAATATATGTTCCCGAAACCCACTTGACATAAACAATGTTTACTCCTGTTCATGGTTATAGTTTCTGGGTTGACAGCTCAGATTGACCTTGTCAGAACCCTAGAGAAAGTGATTCAATGGTTGCAGCCCCTAAAAGAGGCCAAAAGTAGGAGCCAAGTCTCCTTACAGTGTTGCAAGTATTTATGTTCCTCACAAGGAACGCTTGTAGGGCTGAGTACTCAACTTACGTTCCTGACGAGGAACGCAAGTAAGATAAAGGTTATGGCAACAATACTTACTGAACCCAGGGCTACAAGTCTTGTAGGTCAACTACTAACCTAGCATTCAAATGACCCTGGGTTCAATTCCACCTGTCACTAATATAAAATAAGAGCAATAATAAATGTCAATGGCAGCAAATAACAACATACCACCTGAAGACACGAGAAGAACCAATTCCTAAGATATCACGCATACCAAATATACCTCAGGCAAATGGACAATGTCCAACACAATATCATAATCAACCAATCACTGTCATAAACCTTAAGAGATTCAAAAACAGAGGAGTCTTTGATTTGTAATCACTTGTAAAATGGCCAGTACAAACAATTTTTTAAAGTTACAAGGCCTCAAAAACATTCACCTCAATGGCTCAGCCAGACAGTATCAAAATCTCATTCCAGCCCCACAGTTTTGTTATTCAATTTTCTGTTTTCCAGGCAGTATGTATGGGGGAAGTCTCCCCTTCAATTAGGATACAAATAGCACTCACATGTATTATATTCTTTCTCACAAGAGAAACAAAAACATTCTAATGTAACTGGTCAAAACCAAGGAAATTCATGCACTATTTTTAGAAACATACCTTGTTGGTGTTTGTTGGCAACTTTAGATATTTTGAGTTCTGGTTTGGGTGGTACAAACTTCCAGTTGATATTGCTAGGCTGATATGCTGGAGTGCTTGGAAGTGGTGCTGGATGCTTCAGAAAAACCAGCAATTAATTCTTTACAAACTCATCTTTTTTTTCCCCTCACCAAGGAGAAAACTTTTCACATATTTTTGTTACTGTTGATGTAAAATAGTTATGTACTTCTAATTCCATAACTTATTATTAGGAAAACAACAAGGCTAATGTATGATCTATAGCTTTTATGACAACTAAATTCAATGAAGTCTTCACAGGCAATCAACCATGTCAGGTTCCCCACAAAGACTACAATGAACAAGATAATAACAGTGGATATTCTAGATAATACATTTGTATATCTATGAGTTGTGTTACTGGTTTTTATGTTATACAAATAGTGTACACAACAGAATCGACCAACAAAAGAACAAGAGTAGACTCCATTTCAAAATACTATAAGTTGGTTTCTTGATTAAAAACTTCTCCATGGTATATTACACAAACAAACCCTTCCCCCCAAGTAAATTCCATCACATTTACCACAATGAGCAAGACACTAGCTGTACCTTATTCCCAAGAAGAGAACTGACATTGGCAAGAGCAGGTGCAGTCATCCGTCCTACAGTTGTGACAAGACTTGGAGCCACACGGATCTGCTGACCAGGCCTTGTGGGATTTAATACCTGCTGCAACTGGCTGGCCTGCACTGGAGGGCCAGGCCGCAGAATGGCGGTGGTATTAACAGGAGCTGTTCCTAAATAAAATAATTATCTTGAATTCAATACACATTACACTGTCATTTTAAAGGGCTGCTCCCCCCACCCCTCCTGATTCAGTCTTCCTCTCAGGTGTCCTTAAGAGGACTGTTTCCTTGGCCTAACACACTCTGTGGCGCCCTAACTCTTCACACAAATACCTTCACCAAAAAGAATAAATCTTAGGTTGAAGAAGTACATTTTTAGAAATTCACCTTCCCACCTACCACTTTCAGCAAAGCAGCTCCTGGTAAAAAATCAAACACCAGTCTTGGAACAACCACAATACTGACCTTCCCTGGATGAGTGATTTTCTCATGTTACCAAAACTAAAATCTGTTTAAATTTACTTGAAAACTCTTTAAATTTACGGTGTCACCGCTTGTATGACTTCCACCAGCCTTTGGACCATGAAAGATAAATATTAACTGCCCGCCGCCACGGTGGTCTAGCGGTTAGAACGCTGGCCTTGTAATCCTGGGGTCTTGGGTTCGATTACCGGCGATGCCCGAATTTATAACTTGTGTTGGGCAAGGCCGTGGTCGAGGCAACACAGAGTTTTCCTCTGGGGCTTCCCCGGTTTCTCCATGGCATCCCAACAATTACTCCATACACAAAGAAGAAGACAATGGCAAACCACTTCTGGATACCTGCCTAAAAAACATATATGAACAGGTCCCAGTCCGAGAAAAGGATGGAAGGATCCTGTTCATAATAAAGAAGAAGAATTAACTGACCTGATGCTTGTTGGATGGGAACTACAGTTCCATTTTTAAATAGTAATGTGGGCAGTTGGTTCGGTCGATTGGGAACACTCATAATGCCTGGACGAACCTGAAATGTGAAGTACAGCTTGCTGTTAAAGTTGTTTACTGTGTGAATAAAAATGTTTTCCTATAATCATGAACTGTTGTGTATCAATTTCTTCTACCCACTATGGGAATGGATTAAAAACTCACTGGTGATGGAGAACTTGCAATGAGCACCTGTCGCTGCTGTACTGTTCCTCCACTTGTAGGGACAAAGTAAGTCACCCGTGAAGTGGGAGGCGTTGGTGTAGACTGTTAAAAAAAATAACAACAACATCCCAGGCAAACATGACATTGCAGTACTTCAAAAAACTGCCATTCTAGGATCATCATACATCATTCGAAAGACCCTGTTGTAAAATATATAATAATGCCTCACATGAAATGCATGTAACACCTATTAAACCTGCTTATAACCTACTCCCAAAACACCCAAACTTTTGCAATTTCTGACAGATTTCTGTTTGAAGACACACACTTATGACTGGATTTAAAAATAATGATCAGTCCAAACAAACATACAAAATAACGCACACATAAATCAACGTTTCAGATAAACTATCAACAAAACAAAAATGTGCACAATTTTTTATTAACATTATTGACCTGTTTGCAATGAACTAAATTTGTAAAAACCTGTCCAATCACACATTTCTAGTTATGATGACACACTTACAGGGGCAAGGATTGTAGTGGCTGTTGTACCAGTGAGTTGGTGCGGCTGCACAACCCGAATGCTGCCAGTCTGAATCCCTGGATTATTACTGATGGAAACTGCTGTTGTAACAGTACTCGATGGAATCAGATTGGTAGTAATTGAAGCTGGAGTAGCAATCACTGGACATACAATTCCCGCTATGGGAAAATAAAACTATGGTAACAAAAGAGTTTTTCTCATGCAAAGAAGGGTATATCAACTAGTAGCACCAGTGGTTATATGACAGCATGAAATGGCACCCACAACAGAGTACCTGACTTAAAACATCCCATACCACTACCATTTTGGAACTAGAATGCCACCAAGGCTGCCTTCAAACAACTTTAAATCTGAAGGAACATCTACAGTGAACCAATCTTAACAAGTGAAAATTAGTATACGAGGTCTGTTCAGAATGTATCAGACCTTAATTTTTCCCACAGAAACAAATGAAGCACGGAAGGTGTCCTCTGGTGGGGGGGTGGGGGTGTAGGGGACCTTCATGCGCATGCACAAATTTTTTCCCGCCCGCAGAGAGCGTCAGTCGCTGGCAGTCAGCCTGTGAGTGAACGCCCGTCGGATTTTTGGAACGACTTGAGCAGCGGTATTACATAAAATTTTGCCAAAAGCTTGGTGATACCCAAGTGGAAACCATTCGGAAGATTCAGCAGGCTTTCGGCGACGATGACATGAGCATCACACGAATTAAGGAGTGGTACAACCGCTTCAAAGATGGCAGCACGTCGGTGGAGGGCGAACCACATTCCTGTAGGCCCTCAACAAGCCAAAATGACGAGGTCATGACCAAGTGCGGACTTTGGTCATGCAGGACCGTCGTGTCACCGTCCGAGAACTTGCGGACGAGGTGGGGATAAGTATTGGTTCGGTACATTCCATTTTCAGTGAGGATGTGTGGCGCAAACGACCGGACCTGTGGGCAGCGGAAACTTGGCAGCTCCATCATGACAATGCACCCGCCCATTCTTCACATCTGGTTCAGGCTTTCTTGGCCAAACACAACATTCCTTTGATTTGTCAGGCTCCCTACTCTCCCAACATGGCTCCTTGTGATTTTTGGCTGTTCCCCAAGCTGAAAATGCCGCTGAAAGGGACCCCGATTCGCGGTAAATGAAAATTGGATGGGCGTTCACTACATACCTACATTCATTCATTCACTCACTCTCACTCACTCACAGGCTAACTGCCAGTGACTGACGCTCTCTGCGAGCGGGAAAAAATTCACACATGCACTTGAAGGTCCCCTACACCCCTCCCCACCGGAGGATACCGCCTGTGCTTCATTTGTTTCTGTGGGAAAAATTAAGGTCCGATACATTTTGAACACACCTCGTATGACAGATTCTTCATTTAACTCGTAACTAGTTAATTTGGCTTGGTTAACCAGTTCTTTAGCTTTAGGTACTTACTGGTCTTAGCCCTGTCCTCCTCATCTGTAAGATCAATGACCTTAAGGTCAGAATTAGGTTTATTTGGTGCAAATACAGTTGGATTTGGCTGCTGCCTGTTGTTCAGCTGAGATGCTGTAGCAACCCTCAAATTGTTGCTAGTATTTACAACAATGTTGTTCACTGTGTTAATAGTGCTGGTCACTGAGCCAGTACTGATGGTGGCAGTTGTGGTAGTGGTGACAGCAGGTCTTGCTACTATGTTCTGAAACAAAATATTTCCAGTTTGAAAGTTACCCAAATACAACTATAAAGAGCACACATCACCGTCTGGACACAGATTCAGAATGCAAATAAGTAGGACATCTCTATTACAATACTGATTGGAATCATGGCAATTCTGTAATGAAGATTGGATGTCATTACCAAAGTTAAGAGAAAAACACACAGAAAATAGATTTCTTGAATGGTAAAGGAGAAATATTTCTGAAATGTCCTGAATTAAGAAGGAAAGCTGTTGAGACTCCCAAGCCATGTTCATTCCATTCAAAGAATTAATCTATCAATTCAAATATAAAACTAGGAAAGTGGGGGCGGGGGGCGCTGGCAAATCAAAATACATGGTTGGAAGAGAAGTTAAAGCATGGAAAACCCAATTAATGCATCAACTTGTATAACATACAGCTAAACACCTTCAATGCAGATGAATGATGTTTACTTAATGATTTATTACCAAATAAGATACTAACAAAGGAGAATTGACATGGTAGGAAAAGAACAATTAGCAGTGTTAGTATAGAAAGCTCAGAAAAATACCTTTATTAATAAAATAAATAAATAAAAGCCATCCAAAACAGAAGCAGGAAATCAGCCTGCATTGTACTGAAAATGGGCACAGTCACATAATTAGTGCCCCACAAATGAGAATGGCCTGAAATGCGTATGGGTCACACTCCTACTTTTGATAAAGTTAGACACACAAAATACATTTACACATCATTACAGATGTGATACTGAAAATATAGCCTTTTTAAGTAGACAGTTATTTTAATTTTAGGTGATAGTACCATTTTGAGTGAAGCTGGTATAGGGCCAACAAGCGTTGTGATAGGTACATGAGGAGCCGCTGTAGGTGTGGAAGCAAGCTTAGTAAACCCTGGAGTTACAACCTTCTGCACTGTCAATGGATTTGTAGAGGTTGTTCTCACAGCTGATTGTGCCTGTCGTTGTTGCTGTAGTTGTTTCTGTTGTTGTTGCTGCTACAAATGGAACAACATGTTTAACAAATGTGAATATATGAAATATTTTTTATTGTACATCACTTGGCATGAGGCCTGACAATAACTGAACTTATGTTCTTGTGCAGCAATTTGCAGTACTAACAAGCTGGTGTCTGTTGCATCACGGGACAATATGATTCGGTACTTTTGTATCAAAATGTCAAGAATGCGTACGCTTTTCTAAATTGAACATTTTGCAGAAGAATGTAGTTAGCTCAGATGACTAATCACAGGGAAAACATATTCAAATTATTGTGAACATATGTGAAGTTAAAGAAATAAAAATGTGAGTTTAAGGATAATCATTCTGTACCATTGGCACTGCCACTGGAGGAGGCGACACCCTATTACTGACTCTCCGCCTCACCTGGCCTGGATTACTCAGATTGTTGCTGCCCAGCGTGCGATTTCTCAGCATACCTGGACCCTTGCACAAACAAACACAAAAACTCTTCATATCCAATACCCTATACTGCATACATCTGAATATTACTATTTTCAAGCCTTTGCAACATTATCAGACATATCATACAATTAATTTAACAGCTTACTGTCACAACATTAGAAAATATACACACACATTAACGTAGTCACTTGGTTTCTAATGGTCCCATCCCCCAAGATAATAATTTTTGTTCTCTGCTAACTCTAATTTTTGAAGTGCAGGCACCAACAGAATTGCTTTCAGTATCCCAGTGATAGGAGTGACTATAAAGATAATGGTTAGCTGCGAGGACATGGTATACTTCACCTTTCCAAGAATTTATTTTATCTACAATGGAGAACAGAGGTAAATGCTTGTTTGTGAGGAGAAAATTCTGCAGTGTTACCCCAAAACCAGCAGGTTCCACAAATTTATTGTAACAACAGCATTAATATTCTGTGCAGCAGAATATTAAAACTGAGAGGAAAAGGAAACACATGGAATGAAGTCACACGGAGAGATAAAAACCAGCTCAAAATTCACAGTAGACCACGGATTACACATTGAGAATTGGTGATTTGGCCTGCAGAACAGTAAAATAATCTGAGCTTACCGGTGGTCCCATGTGCACCTGAAGTCCAACAGATCGAGTTATTTTAACTGGAATCGGCCGTTCTTTCTTCGCACGAACATCACTGATACACCTCTTCATGACCACATCCATATCCCTATTCTGAAAGCAAATGAACAACCATGTGGTTTAATGAAACACATAATTGTTAGCTGTGCAATGTAAACATGAGCAACAAATAATTTACTTTTATCTACAGAAATAACTTCAAGATTGGTGTAAACCAACATTGCATATTGGTTTTGGAATTACGTAAAGTTGATTTCAACATTTAAAAAGAGGGAAACATAATTTTGTCACTGTTGTCTTCTGGGGTGAACACCATGTGGACTTGTAGAAGATACCAATGTTCCTCCTTGTATAAAATCCCTCTTAGGTTGGAATGTAATCAACCATTTTCTCAGTAAGATTTGTATAAACTGGGCAAAATGTCAACAAATTACCTGTTTCTGTAGCTGCTGAGCCTTCTTGCGCCACTGGTCAACCAACTGTTCCAATGACTGACACTTCTGCCGCAAATCGCCCAAAGTGCAACGATCAGTCACAGACTCACATAACTTCTGCACCACAAACTCCTCCAATTCCTGCAAACATTACCCACAATTCCTCAAATGGCATTTTTTTCATGTTGAAGAAATGTTACAATCACCTTCTACAAAAGAAACCATTAATATTTGGTAAAATTACCTTCTTACAAAATCAATAATGAATTTAAAAAAATACATCATTTTATGACTCATAAACTATGGAGCAATACAACGCATGGAAAGGATAAGATTGATGGCTGCTAATTCTACTGTAACAAAAACTGAAGATTGCAGAATCTTTTCTGGAGACAAAAAAGTCTTATATCAGAAGTATATCTGTTACACTCTAAATGCACAACACATGAACCGATGGAACAATGATTATGAAACTAATATAAAAGCCATTTTTCACTGAGCAACACTGTAATTACACATTTCTGATATCCCACCCAAATTCAGTACCAAGAAAGTAGACAAGTGGAACACATGAGGTAGATGTACCAACAGAAATAGAGTATACCAAAATTTCATGTGCTACACTCTCAAAAAGATATTAGAAGTTAATGTAAACTCCACCATTAATGATAAATATAAAGCAATTTATGGCAGGACTACATGTGTTACAATGTTTCCAAATAATGAATCTCTATTTAGGGAGATGAAAGGGTCCAGTGAATATGAACATGTTGCTTTCAGACAACACACAACACAAACATACGAAGAACGTTCAATGACAAGATTCAACGTCAAGATATGGTACTGGCAAAATGTTTCCACCCTTGACACAACTGAAACTAAAACTAATACAACTAAAGAAATTAAATGATAGTACTAAACTTACATTTCTGGAAAGCTTCTTAATCAAGTTCACATGGAGGTCTCGCATGAAAGGCATGGGGTTTAATTTTTGAGTTTGCTCTGGTGGTTCAGGATTTTCAGGTTCTTCTGTTACCCCAGTGGCAACACGTTCAATTGCTAGGTCCACGTTTGATTTATTCTGTGTAGGAAGTGCAGATTTTACACGTTCTTGCTTATCTTCACCTTCATTTTGTGGCATCTCAGCAGTGCTGTTTTTACCATCCACCAGTTTTAGCTGTTTTCCCATATCAGGGGAGATGTGGACTTTCTTGACTTCAATTATGCTGACTGGTTCATAAACACGTTTGGAACTAGAATTCTTGGTGTCGCCCCCTTCTGCTGTGTCTCTGTTGGCATTATCATTTACAACATCATTCATTTCTTTGCCCTTTTCACTACCCTTTTTGTCTGCTTCACTACCCTGATTGTATAACTCACTAACTTCACTGTTCCTTTCACTCTCTTCTTTGACCCTCTCACCACCTTCTCTGTTCACTTCAGCAAAGTCTTTATCTGTCTCACTATCTTTAACCATTCCACTGCTTTCTTTGTCCGCAACACTAGTTTTTTCTCTATTTTCACTAACTGCCTCCTGTCTTTGAAATCTTGTGGCCTTATTCTTTTCTTCATCCTTTCTATTTCCAAATACATTCCCACCCTTTTTATCACACTCTGAAGCACTTTCCAAATTTTCACTTTTACAATTTTCAACTCTCGTCCTTTTGGCTTGTCTCACGCCATCATCACTGTCCAAAGCTGAAGTCCGTTTCCGCACAAACCTATCAGCTGTAAAGAACAGATCGTGAGAAGAGGTTTCTATAATACACGACATACTAAAACACACTTCAGTCCTGACACCTACAATAAGGTGTTCACAGGGTCATTAATATGCCTGAATATTATAAAAGCACCACAATAATATTATCATCACCAAATTAAGTAAAACTCTGAAACCTACAAACATTCTAGACAAGTATTTGACCAAACCAAAGGCACTTTTATTTGTTTATGTCAGTTAAAACATTTTTTTCACTGTGATGAGGTACAACTGACAATACTATGTAACTCTTTTGCCATAATTCTATCAAGTGCTTTCTTTCTGACAGTATGTAGTACTGGCACCTGATGCCTCTTTGGGCCACATTAACATTTCTGGACATAACATCAGAATACCACAACCATTTCTCACAGAAATAAAAACAGTTTTTCTCAACATAATATGAGGCAATATGCTGATATTTAGTTCTTCCAAAACTGCAAAATGTTTCCTCAATTTGAAGTAATAAAAATGAAATTCAAACAAAAGAGAAATCACACTAAAAACGAGTCTGAATATAACTACCAATGTCATGATGTCCCTATACTTTTTGTCACACTTACTAAAATGAAACCATCCTTCAAAATATCTTCAAATTTTAATAACAACTTGTGAAGAATTCAGAAACGATGTCACATTGTTCTAAAAGGCTATCTACAAAGTAAGGAGTAAATGAAGGAACCTTTGTACCATACTCATCAATTTAGAATCACAGCATATACAGAATAATATAAGGATCTGTCCTGCAACAAAATGGTCACACTATGTCATCCTGTAAAGTGCAGATGACACACGAGATTCTCAAAATGGCAAAGATGTTGATGCTGGTCTTCTGGGTTCTAATGTTTCAAGATCTTTTATATAGATACCAACAGTTCAGAGGAACACACTACCTCCATCTTAAGGGTTGCAGTATGTTTGTCCAAATCAGTGGCATCTACCTGTAAGTCCACATGACATAACGAGCCAAGAGACCACCATCATGCAGGTAAAATATTCTATCACATACACATATATATATATAAAAAGTGCTGGTTTCCCTCTCTGTGCAGACCATCATCACAACATTATGAAGCTCATCTAAATATTTAAAAATTTAGTACATACCACAAAGAAAACCCAGCACTTCACCATTACAAAGTTCAACTGTTTAAAAAAATAATAGCTATTTATTCTGAGAATCATATAAAACCCAGAAACACATAATGCAGCAGTACTTACTGTTAAAGCAAATAATACAAATGGGTACTAATTGGCTTAAAAGGGTTAATAGAAAAGGAACATATCAGACTAACAGAAACCAAACACCAACAAGCAGCACATGTTCCCGTGTGGTAGGATGTCAGTACATTTACATTTAGGTCTACTCACATTTCCTCATCTTCCTACATGGTCTAAAGAAGCTTAATCTGGATATAAAAAACAATGTAGGTGTCAAATACATATTGTAGCATATGTATGTTAATCCTGGGGTAATTTTTCTAGTATAAATACTACAAAAATTGTCCCAGAATTATACCACCATATATTTCACGTCAAGATGGAACTGTTCATATTTTGTAAGGATTGCCATGTGAACAAATAAGTAGGATGATGAGAGACCTAATCTGAATCTTGTCTTTGATTTTCCTCAGTCATTCCAGGCAAATGCCAGAATTGTACCTTAAAAGAAACCACACCTGCCCTCTTCCTAGTCCTAACCAACTCACCACTATCTCCCCACCTCCTTCAACGCAATGTAATACCCGCTTTTGAAGGCTTTATTATGAAGCTCTAGCATCACACCCCCACAGTGACCAATACAGCATTAACAATCAATTTGGATTTCAAGTTGTCATTATACTGGCAGATTTAATTTCTACCATAAGATTCAGTGCATGACGAGATGTACTGAAAGACACCTTACACGGTAAACTGTACAAAATAGTCAAAAATTACTTCCTTACTACTATCATGGCTAGATCATTCTTAAATCCAGTTAAACTAGTTTTATTAAGACCATTTTCCTTTTGGCCTGCCAATATTTTCTTTTTATTGCACCTTCTAATTTTAGACAAGTTTAAGGACTGTCATCTTCTGCAGGGGTTAAATACATAGTCTTCTATAACTGATTGCCTTGTTGTCTAAATTTATTACTTGTAGTAATCTATGTTGAAAATGTTTTCACTTCTGTTCTTATGCAGAAAAAATTTCAAAGATCATAGATTATTGGTTATTCATATATATCAAGTTGCATCTAATGTTAATATTTCATGTTCAATGAGATATGTAACTCACAATTTTACAGTTTTAAAACAATATAAACTTTTCCTTTCGGCTCAGGATGCTTTAGACGCAGAAGGATTACAAAGTGCTCTAAACCTGAAGCTGCTTACTTCAAGAAGAAAGACCACAAGAGTTTGACATTTGCCATGTTAAATGATACTAGGTGCTAAATTAATGCATATTTCAAGAAAGTAAGCAAAAAAGCACAACCTTCAATAATTGGGGAAGAAAGATAAATTACTTGCAGTAACAAGCCACTTTAAGTCATACCTATCAGTTTAGGGCAAAAGCATGCTAAGTTAATCCCCAAGTAAAGTAAATTCAGATTTGATTACCTTCTCCAGTATACACAGCATGCTCAGGTTCAACTAATGACGTATCTTTTTCACTAGAAACAATGCGACTTTGCTCATGGCTGTTCTCAGTTCTCAGCACAATGTCTTCATTTATTGCTCTGTCAGTTCTCCTAATATCGTTGGAAACTGCTTGCAATTTGTTGCTCTCTCTCGCGTGTATACTGATAACATTTACGTGAATTTCCGCTTCAGAAGACTCTTTTTTCAAAAGACACAATTTCTCATCCCCCTCTGTTTCAAGGTCTTTTAAGTTGGCCAGTTTCATATCTGGCTTATCATCTTTAATATCATGACCAGCCTGGTAATCCATGTCACATGTACCTACATCATCATCCATAACAGATGACAACCCATCTAGTTTGGCCTGATCATCTTGTACCTCTACAGCAGTCAACTTCCTATCTGAATGAACCGTGTCATTATACAAACCAAATGACTTCTCACCAGAACAATCCTGCACATCAGTATCGCTAGAGTTGACGTTGTGTTCATTATGACAATTCTGCAATCCCACTTCAGGCAGGTTTTCAGTATAATCATTCTGCATCTCTACATCAGACAACTTTTCGCTTGGTTCCATTGATCCACACTGCAGCAATTCTAAACCATCCAATATTTTCCTTCGTCCAGTCTCGCCACCTTGCGATTCCTCATCACCTACGCCTTGAAGCAGATGACAATGAAATTCTTTTTCTCCTGATGTGTCACTACAGGGATGGGGGTGAGACACTCCTGACTTTGGAGACATAACACTTCTTTTCTCATTCTCACGTTCCACAGGACTAGAATTGTGACTAGATACGTCACTGGATATTTCTGTGCCATATGGTTTATTTTCTTCTACAAATTTAATATGCACTTCTCTTTCAGAATCAACAAAATTATCAACAGTTTTCTCTTCAACTGCATCATTAACTTTATCAGTTGTCTTCAAAACTTTGGTATCATTTCTTTGCTTCAAAACTTTAACATTTTTCAAGTGTTCTGAGTTGCAAAAGCCATTTCCATCAACTACTGAATTACTCGATTTAACATTTACAGCTTTAGCACTATGTGATAAAACTACATCTGATAAAATGCTTGAATTTTCACACATATCTTCATCACCTGCTGCAGTAATGGTTTCATTGCACATGTCTGGAATATAGAAATTGAATCAAATATCGAGGCTGCAGGCATAAGCTCAGCACAACACAAACATTCAATGCATGTATATTTCTGATCTGCAAAAATTAATTCACATGCATTTCTCCACAAACTGCTCATAGCAGGAGTAAAATGTACCTCGATATTGGGATTTCATTTAACATTCAGAGAACTAAAGTCACACTGCACAAGTACTTTCTCTTGATCAGCATCAACTGTTAGCAACTGACACAAGAAACTCAAAGAGAGAGAGAGAGAGGTTCCAAACATAGCCAAATTATGCATGAAAATAACCTGAATGAAAATGTACCGCAATAAAGTGTTGGGAGTATAGTGCTACCAAATGAATCACACCTTCGACTTCTTTGGTATACCAAATTCAATAAGAATATTGTATAGCAGTTATCTCTTCACAGAGCCATATGCTTTTTTTTAAATCTATAAACAAAAGATCTGATCAATTGTTAATCTGTTACATCTGAACGCACACTGATGATCCCCAATAATTTCGTTCACATATAGAGGTAATCTTGCCAGAATTTTGTATGATGCAGAGCCCCCCCCCCCCGAATACGAGGCTGGGATAGTAACCATTCGACCGCGATGTTCGTAGTTAATTTCTAGATTCTGAAGCCCATGCTCGTAATATTAAGAATTCAATCCCTACCTCAAAGAAAACACCACAGTTTATTACAGATATAAATTGGTTAATGCTTTCCTAGGGAAATAACCCCTGTTTACAATAATCATCTTAACGAAATCCACATACACTCAGTGGGTGGGTGGAGAGAAAAACCCGCATAGATATTGAATGTTATAGCAGGTGATGGGGTTTGCAGTGGCCGCTGGATCGCTGGGACCGTGGGTTTGAATCCGACTCAAGCCATGGATGTTTGTCCGCGTTTTTGTGTTGTGCTGTCCTGTGTACAGGTAGAGGCCTTGCGACGAGCCGATCCCTCGTCCAAGGAGTACTACCGAATATCTATAGATCAAGCCAACGAAAAAGTTGGGACCGGCAGTGCTCAGGCACTTGAAGAAGGGGTTGCTCCCAGTATCCATTAAGTGGGAGAATCTCTTGCTCTGTGAGTAAAATAGTTACATGAGACATGGTAGCCCCAATTTAAGTGAGATGCGGGGTGGGCCAATGCAACTTGCAGATCAGTTGCAGAAAGAATCTCATATTCAGTTTAGCAGAACTTTTTGGCCCTGTGCATGGAAAGAGGTTAGACATTAAATGATGTCAGTGTTCAGAGAAGGTATAGGGTTAGTGAAATATTATAACAAATATCCTTTGATTTCTAGCCACAGCTCCTTAAACTCCTCTATGATGAATCAGTTACACATTCTCAAATTGCAAATTCTGCGGAGAATCTGACACAGGCCTTGAAAAGCAAATGTGAAATTTGGTTTTGTGCTTCCGTTATTTATTGGGGCAATAAACATTTCTGGGATGTTGTTATTGACAAGGAGAAACGGCTTGCCTCCTTGTGTGGGTACGGCAACTAGAGTGAACAAAAGACAAGCCTTGGCTCCTTCCTACTCTTCAGGCACTGTTGTAAAGTACATTTGACGCGATACGTGCGTGACCTTGATTCACCGATCATGCGCCCCAAGACAGTCCACCATTTCAGGCGAACGTAATACTAGTACAGAAAAATAACATTCTTCCTTCGTCTGGAAAATGTATTAGCAGGCCCGCGCCGAGCACATTCTGCCGGTCCAATGTATAAGTACTCAATTTTTCTGTTCTTAGATTACCACGTTTAATTACGGATGGATTTCGGTTCTTTTAGCGCCCCTTCAACCATGGTTCCTGTAGGCAACTGCATACTTTGCTACCCTCTGGCGCCACCCCTGTTTTTCGGCACTCCAATGCAATGCTTCAAAATTCTGTGCCCCCATAGCAAATTGCCGCAGCTCGGCTCTTGTGTATTTGATGATATTTACAAGACATTGACGCTTCGCACATGTCCACATTTTTTCCCCAGCCATCGTATATAATACTACGTACTGAAAAATACATTCCCTGTGTCCACGTGGCTAAAAGTTTTTCTTTTTTCGTGGCTTCGGGTGAGGACGTGGAACAGATTAAGAACAAGTTACTGCTGACGGGCCAGAAGAAGAACAAGGACCCCCCCCCCATAACCAGAATGATGTTTTGGCCATATTTATCCACCTTAATACTTCGAAACTGCAGTGTTTCAGACATTTCCAATCCTGTTAAGATTTCTGGTTCTTACGACGAGTATGAAGACTGTCGTCTGAAGAATGTCGAGCCGTATAGTCCGGTATACTGGCCAACGTTTCAGAGGCGGTGACTACATCGGGACGCAACATCCCAAATAAAACCCTGTTTTGATAACTTCTTCAGGTTCGCGATTATACTGTATTCCTCAGTATTGGAGTAGACAACTTTTCAGAATCTCAAAATCTATCCTCCATCCTGCTTTTATTCACTTGTTTACCAAATATAGACTAGATACAAATCATTTACAAAATAGGCGGGACATGTAGCATGCACGGGGAACAAGAAATGTGCATACTTGATTGGAAAAAGTAGAAGGGAATAAGACAACTCGGAAGATCTGGGCGCAAATGGGATTATAATATTAAAATAGGCCATACGGAAATAGGTTGGGAAGATAAGGATTTAATTCATTTCTACGACGGATTTTAGAGGTAGAATGGCGAAAGACACACAGGTCTTTTGCACATGGTATAGGAATCGAAGACACGTGACACCACTCATTCTTCGGCATCTAGTTCAAATCATAACAAAGGGGGCCTTTACCTTACAGGGGAGGCGGCTTTCCTCAAATCCTGTCTTTGATTAGTTTCATTTAATCAATTAAAAACAGTAATAATATTTACTTTTTATACAATCTATAATATTGCAAATTTCAAATGTAACTGAATTTCAACTAATTACAACCGCCAAAACATTAAACTACAGAAACAACCAATAATATGGAGTGACAGAGATATAATACGACCATGTAAAGTGGTTTAAAACAAAGACTAATTCAAGTACAACGTACACGTGTCACTCCAACTGTTTAAAACAGGTGCAGGCATCTCGTGGCGGGTATGTAACCCTGGCAACGTTTTATGCTGCCCGCCACACAATTTGGGAATCAGGCAAAGCGAAAAGGACAACCATTTTCTGATACTGAAGAACTGATACAAATATACAAGATCCAAGTGTAAGGGTAAACAATCACAAACGAATCTTATAAGTCAATATTTTGTAGATGTAGACCTGCAACGTTAAAATCAAATCGCTTAAACTCTGTGACGGAACAAATCAAAATTACAGACAAACTCCACGGAGTACAGTCCTTCAGAGGATGACAGTAGCTTCGCTAGTCGCGAAATTCACCTATTTTACGAAACCCGAATGTTCATCACCGTGTTCACCAGAGCTCACCACCGGTTCCCATCCTGAATCACACGAATCCAGTCCACAACCTCCCCATCCATTTCCTATTCAACCTCGTCATCCCTCGTGTCCGTCTTAAATGTTTTTTGGCAACAGGCGGTAAGTAGAAAACAAATACGAATGTTACTTTTAACTGAATGCGGAAAAGATTTTTGCTTAACAACCGCTCGTTTATTATATACAATGTGATGAATTATCTGGAAACACTTCGACAGCTTTGGAACCAAAGACCTCAACCAACACGGCGTTTTTTTTTTACGAAAGTAGAGCCTACGATTTTCTGAACATGGGCCTTCTACGGCAACTTCCACATGGCAAGTGAATAGATTTTTCAGAATCAAATTAATTTCTCTTTAAATTATGTTTCGCAAAACAATACAAATAATTACAAACAATCGAAACGAGTCACTCCAAATCCTGGGATGTGTATTAATTCCAATCGGGGCTTCCATATGAGAGGTCGGCCGCCAAAGCTTTCAAATAACGATTCCTACTCCAGCAACCGCAAGTCACATACTGTTCAGATGAGTAATCAAATACGCTAATACGTAGTCTATAATGGAACGCCATATTAAACAGCATCGTAAACAATTATCGAAAAATTTTCCTTGTTCCGTCAATATAAAATAAGAACCAAAAAAAAGGGGGCGACGTAAATTTTTAAATGTAGAAAGGAACAAAGCTAAAACGTGCACTGCTTAGTTGACACGGCAGTAACACCGTATGTTATCACTGCTAACTTTGCAATGAGTTTATTTTTAACACATTTAAACTTTCCTAAAGTTACGTTTAGCAGCGTTTGAATCTCTCAGTTACAAATGAAGAGCTGCAATAATAGTGGCTCTTAAGGATTTATTTGCGACTTCCAAAATCCGAAATTTGGCGTCTTTGTATCGCATTCCAAATACTTCACGGAGCCAAACTGTATAAACACTCAAGGAACCATCATTCTGCTGAAACATTATCACAGAAGAGAATACACATTACTTACCATCAAAAGCAAAATCCACTGATATACTTCTACCTCATTAGGTTACTTTTCTTATTCATAATTCGTAAATCTGACGCATAATCAGTGCGACGTAATTCCACATTCAATATAATTGAAAATCCAAATACAATCAACAACAAACAATATCAAGTCCACATAATTACGAAAGGCACTCACACTACTGTGTAGGCTAGAAAAGGTTTCTGAATTCTTTGATTTCAGGATATTTTATGGTCTTCAAAACTTAAAACTAAACAAACGTTAATATGAAATTTCCTACTACAAACAGAACCTGAAACCAGTTCTTCACTCAAGTCAAACAGTTAGATAGAGCCCATGTTATAACAAAAATACAGTAACAGATATGGGGTAATGCCACAATAACTTTTTTACTTTTTATGAAACCTTTTCAGGACAGCACTTTAAAAAATTCTGACTTTTCCTAATGCAAATAAAAACATTCTTATGGGAATAATATAACAAATCACATGCAGCTTCTGATCTCATAAACAGGCTCTTACAGTCCACTTTTAAAATGTAGCATATATATATATATATATATATGAAGAGCCATTCCCACTACATGATAAGGAACCCCCACCCCACCCCCAAAATCACATAGCATGTCATCAATAAAGTGTCAGCTAAACACTAATGCATACACTAAATAAATTCTACAGCAAAATAAAATGTTTTACTGGACTTACCAGAGTCTGAATGCTCAATTCTGCTTTTCTCTCTTACACCTGACTCAGTATTTGATGTTTCTGGATTTTCTTTATCATCTACATCTTCTAACAACTTATTAACTTCAGAATCACTCAAACCAAACTGTTCACCGTCTTCAACAAAATCTAAGCCCACAGACTCTCTACTGGTCCTTTGTACTTCACCATCTTCAGGTACCTGGGCAGTATTCTTTTCATCACACACCAACTCATGTGAAATTCCATTGGTAGACACTGTGCTCGTAAGTTCAGTATGTTCTTCAGTAGAATTCAAACTCAGTTTCTCCCACTGAGGAGGTATAGTCACTTTCTTTACAGTCATGTCAAATGACATAGACTTACTCATTTCAAATATTTTTTTAATAGGACTTGATGTTTGTGGTGCACCATTTAATGTTTCTGGTTTTTTAATGTGTCTATTTGGGTGATCATTTGATGGCAAAGCTGGGGCACATTCACCACCTTTAGTTTCCTTCACCATTCTGTTACTACAATCAATCTTGGACTGAAGTTGATGTGTGCTTAATTGGGGAACTTGTTGTGGAAGGTCTTTAATAAAAACACCCTCTACTACTGGTTCAATTACATCCACAGCAGTTATCAATTGCATGTTATTCCAATGACAACTTGTGATCTCTCATACCTTTTGAGTAGATCAACTTGGACATAATCTGAAAATATGAAAGCAACGATAATGACAATTAATATAAATAACTGCAATTTGTATTTACAGTACAACAAACATCATGCAAATTAACAACATTTAAAATGTTTCCATTATTTTACTAATTCTTCTTCTATTACTATGACTACTACTACTGTTGATCTACTTCTACCACCACCACCACTACTAGTAGTAGTACCACCACCACATCAATATCAATAATAGCTTTATTCGCAAAATCCAAAAGTTAAAAAAACCACATCCACAATTACAAATTCACATAAGACAGCACACTTCTCCCCACCATGATTCATGAGAAGTATTCAAGATGGCGGCCGAATACGAATCAGCGCTAT